GTTTATTCCAATTTTGATTCAATTTGTTCAGTTACGGATACTAATTTGAAAATAACCTTAGTGATTAGAAAATATCAATAACAACGATGAATTAGTAAAATTGAAGTGCTGGAGGAAATATTCGAAACAGGCTGCTTCGAATCTTGTTGAGAGGAGCGTGGATTTTCCATTTGCGGCCGGTAACTTAGATGAATCTATAGCTGTTATTAATAACGCTTTGAAAACGTGTACCAATCAACTAGTTGAGCAAAAGTTTGTTTCTTAGAAAAACTCGAACAGCTGGTACAATTTGGATATATTGCGTCTTAAACGGAAAAGGGACAAATGATACAAAAAGTTTTGTAGATCAAATAATAACAATCATTGAAATAGGTACACAATCGCTCGTAATAAGTATTCACAATCGATAAAGAAAACTCGTTGTGAATATGTTCAAAATCAATCAATCTTCCGATCAGCATCAAAACAACAGCAAAGAGTTATGGAAAATTTTGAAATCTTTATTAAAACCTAGTAATTGCAAACCGCGGTCCATAACTTTTAATGGCACATTAGAACAGTCAGAACAAGTAATTGCATCTAAATTTAATGATTATTTTGTCAATCAATTGAATTGGTCGATAAAACTGACGAAATAAAATAGCCAGTTAAAAGTAGTTGTAGATTTGAAGGTTTTCACCCAATTACATTAGATGAACTTAGAGTTATTTGTTTTTCATTACGAAAATCGGCTGGAGTAGATAATGTTAATGCTAGAGTTATTCAAGATTGCATTCATGTCATTGGACACATCTTGCTGGACCTTATTAATAAATCATTGCAAACTGGACATGTGCCACAAATTTGGAAGGAATCCTTAGTGGTTCCTATTCAAAAAGTTGCTGGAACGGTTAAAACTGAAGAGTTTCGTCCCTTGAAGGCCAGCTGTTAGAGTATTTAAATAGTAATAGTTTATTAATCGGGAAGGTCATTCTTGTGAAACCGCGTTGAATTTGGTATTAGCGAAGTGGAAAAATAACTTGGAGTGTAAAGATACGATTGTTGCTGTTTTTTTGGATCTCAAACGCGCTTTTGAATCAATTTCTAGGCCCTTATTGTTAAGATCAATTAAGCGCTTTGGAATTACGAGTACTGCATATAAATGGTTTGAAAGCTATTTGTCTGACTGAACACAACGGACTGTTTTTAATGATTATGTTTCCAGTCCCGTGGGGAATAATCTTGGAGTGCCCCATGTAAGTGTATTAAGGCCCCTGTTATTTATTATGTATATTAATTAATGACTTGCGACGTGTTTTACAAATTTGCGACATTAATCTTTTTGCAGATGATACTTTGTTATTAATTGCAGCTAACGATTTAGATGATGCCGTTTTACACTTGAATGAAGATTTTCGTTCTCTAAGTAGATGGTTGAAGGATAAGCATTTGAAATTGAATACAAGTAAAACTAAATTTATGGTAACTTCGCGGAATTAATTAAATGAGAACGTCTCTGTTGTAATTGTTGATGACACTATTGATCGCGTTCGGGAGATTAAATATCTTGGCTTGATTATTGATGACAAACTTAAGTTAAATTCTGACATTGACAATGTCATCAAGAAAATTGCCAAGAAGTATAGAATTCTATGTCGACTGAAAAACGATTTAACTATTGCCAGTAAAATACAGCTATACAAATCAATCGTCGCTCCTCATCTAGACTTTTACCCTTCCATTTTATTTCTGGCCAATGAAACACACATATCGAGATTACAGCGCGTGCAGAGTAAAATAATGCGGTTGAAATGATGTAATAGATGTAATAGATTCACTTCCTCAACTTTAATGCTAGACGCCTTACAATAGTTGTCGGTGAAGCAAAGAATTGTATATTTGACTATGGTGTTCAGAAAGTGACTTTCATAGATATAATACTAGAAAAGCGGTTGAAATAAGAACACCACATTTCTTGATTTGTGCTTCACAAAATTCATTATATTTTAAAGGAATAAATGTTTTTAATTCGATGTCTAGACATATCAAACGTTCAGCAAAACTTACATAATTTAAAAGACACTACATTCCACACGTTAAAACTGTCTTTTGGACAGTTATCCAGTGATTTTTTCTATGAATTGACAAGTTATGTATCTTGACGAAGTTATCTCTAACTGATTATTTTGTATGGATAGCTGTAATAACGACTTTTTTTTAAATAATTATTGTAGCACTGCAAAAACAATTTTTTTATGCCACGGATGATGGATTTTTCATATTTGATTTAATAGTAGTAGATTAATTAAAAAAGTAGTCTACAAAGGTTTGAGCCTCGCGCGCGTATTACGGATATAGAGGACTGTATCTAAAATAAGATAAAAAAAAAATGCAATTTTGAAGCTTATTTGGAAGATACCTTGAGTTAGTAGTAAGTTTTCTGGCAAATGTTGGGGGTTCGTGAGCATTCCTGACATTGCTGAAAATTATGATAGCATCAGATTGCGGAGTTTCTAGTGTAAAGGGTGCCTTGTTGATTTTTCATTAACTCCTGATTGCTTGTAATACTTATGAATATTTTAGGTGGACAAAAAGGCGAACTAAGAGGTAGATGCCTGAGCTTTTCCACATTTATATCGCTGTGAAGCAACTGTAAACTCTATAGGGAATTTATATCTGTAACTGAAACCAATTCGATTTTGTTTGCAAGCCTGGTTAAATTGTCATATTTAATTATCTAAAAGATAAATCGTCCAGCTCAAACCTTTGCAGGGGTAAGAGGTGGGACCATCATCATCATCATCATCATCATCAGAGGTAATCACGCTTACCACGACATCACCGGTGCCGCTAATTTTATGAATCAATAAATACTTTTCGTTGAAATCAGATCACATTTCAGAAGAGTTTACACGCTTCGAAAACTTCATGTAATTTTAAGTCTCCTAAGACCGACACACGTATTTTTCAGCTGAAAAATAATGAAAAAATGCAATGAATCAAATGTGGACAATGACTTTAAACGTCCATGATTCTTGGTTCAAAACTTATTCAGAAAAAATCGACAGGTCCTACTAGATCCTGATAAAGTAAATTTCAATTACCAGATGCTAATGTCGGTTTACCTGAAAGAGGTTTAATCCGTGAAAAATCGACATTCATTGTCATTGTTTACGTATGGTGACATATACCAGGGGCCTGGCTGGCGGCCATGTTTTTGATGCTTTCATCTGCTCTTGTCTTTCTGCTTACAACACGATTTGCGTCCCCTTCCTTCAGGTATACGTCAGGCGGGCCGTATTTAAATAAGGCCCGTCATCTTGCCTACTGTCAAACGTATAGGATTGATATGGAGTTGCCAGACCCCTGACTTATACGAGTGTCAATTTTGACATAAAATTGAGTCATAATAGACGCGAAATTCAGCTCAAACGTACTTTCAAACTTTTAAGTCTCGGAGTACTTAATTTTACATGACATGTTTGTTAACGTCTCATCCTTTATGTCAAAGATGGATTCCGTCACGTGTAAGATTAGGTATTTCTAAGGCTCTGAACCATTTGGTGGATTATTTTAACTTTTGGTTAAAATTTGACAGATGGAAAGTTATCCGAGCGTGGTTACTTCTGACAAACAAGCAGTTAAATTTTGACAACATTGGCTAAGTTCTTCTCGAAAACCGGTCGATCGACAGTACAGGGATTTTCGAACATAGAAAATAACTTTCGAAATGTCACTTTTAACCACGAGTTAAATTTAATTCGTGGTTAAAAGTTACATTTCGAAATTTATTGTCTATGTTCGAAGATCCCCGTGCTGTCGATCGACCGGTTTTCGAGCCAAGGTTGTCAAAATTTAACTTCTTGTCTATCAGAAATAACCATGCTCGGTTAGCAGGGTTAATCGATAACTTTTCATCTGTCAAATTTTAACCAAAAGTTAAAATAATCCACCAAATGGTTCAGAGCCTAAGTGTGCAGCGACACCTCTTCTAGTTGTTTGCTTTCAACGCGGCAACGGCAAAAGCGAACGAACTTCAAACAATTGAGCAAGCACCGCAACAATGAGTTGCTATCGAAAAACAGACTATCGCGCGACTCGCACAGAAAAAAACACCCAGCAGCATGTTTCGACAGCTATGAGTGAGCTGGCTGGAATACTTTTAATTTTATCCTATTATTTTTTTTATATTAATTTGATAACTATTACCTATTGAAAACGCACTCAAATCAGCAATTTTTTTTCTTTTATAAAGCCTACGCACATACATCGATTAGTGGCGTGTTGCGGAAAATCTGACAGCTAGGCATTAGGCTCAGCAGTAATTTTGCAGTAACAGTATGCTAATAACACACGGGGAAAAAATCCGATCTCCGAAATGAGAAAAATGACTCATGATTTCATGAACACAGCGTAGTTTCATGTTATGAAAATACACCATGAATAATATTCATGATATCATGAGCAACTTTTGCGTAACGCAGCAAACATTCCCAAAATCATGGATCATCAGAGTTGAAATCATGAACTAAATTCATGGGTTGAACTGTTAACCAAAAAATGTAAAAAGAATAAAATAAAGCATCAGACTGGATTCGAACCAAGAACCTTGAGATCACTAAACCCATACTTTGACCACTAGACTATCAGTACTTGTGTAAGATAGAAGGCAAAAGGGGTATATCAGATACCTATGAAGTGCGGATTATGAACACGGTTTGCCGAGTTCGTGTAACGCTTGTAGCGGTCTTGATTCCTCTGCATTATGAAATCATGAATTTCCATCCCGAAATCATGAATCATTGTTACGATTCATGGGATGGCAAATTTCATGAAAATGGAATCGGATTTGTTTCCGTGCATGAATCACTGTGGCCCTATGATAGATTGTTTCCAGGTAAAATTAAGATGTTGTTAAACAGACAAAAATGAACCATCCAGATCTTCTGGATTAAAACAAAAGTATTCAACAAGCTCGGTAATTATCCTTTTTACAATATAAGACTGATAAACGGATGATTTTAACTTAAGATTTGCAAATAGTGGGCTTGTTAATACTTGGGGCTTTGAAGGTTGCAATTAAATTTATCACCGAAATATATACAGGAAAGCCATTGATCAATTTGCCCACCCACTACAATTACAATATTAATTCTTATTTTCTTACAGCGTCAATTAAAATATAAAGTAGCTACAAGTTTCGATAGTAGAAAGTACTATCACAGCATGAAAAAATCACCCAAGGTCCTCTCTCTACAAATGGAACAGGAATTAGGGGCCAAACCAATTCTAATCGATTCCTGTCGATCAAATTTGGAGAACAAGTATAGTTCATCTGTTATAATTACTAATTGTGCTTTATTTAATTCCAATAATTTCCTGTTAGGATAAATGATAACGATCAGGGAGACGATATGGATGATGATGATGAGGAGTTGTCGGCAACTCCTGACAACCAAACGCTTTTGAGGTTACTCGAAGAAAAGGAGAAGGTATTGTCTTAGACTAATGCTCAAGTTCGTAGTCGGCATTTCAAACTAAACATAAAGGTGGCAATAAGTGAGGGAGAGTGGACACACTTGATCCCTTGTTTTAATTGTTGAGAAAGACCTCAACGGAAAAATCATAATTTTATGCAGTTTATGTACAGGCTCTTAGCGAAATATCTTATGTTTGTTTTTATCAATTACCATCACAAACAATTCGACAGTGAGCATGGATAAGGGGGTAACTCCCACGGTCGAATCTCTTTGTTGATTTTTCTTTCGTTAATAACTTGCTTGGATTAACATTTCCAATTTCAGAAAATTGTTTCCCTTAATTGTAGCATTTTGAAGAGAAAATCGATTAAGGCTCTGAAGCATTAGGTGGATTTTTTAACTTTTGACAGATGGAAAGTTATCGATAAACCCTGCTATCCGAGCTTGGTTATTTCTGACAGACAAGAAGTTAAATTTTGACAACCGTTGCTGAGTTATTCTCGAAGACCGGTCGATCGACAGCTCAGGGATTTTCGAACATAGAGAATAACTTTGAAATGTCACTTTTAACCACGAGTTAAATTTAACTCGGCAAATGGTTCACAGCCTAAGAGAATCGATCATCGCAGTTAGGCCCTCACTGTCGAATTACTAGCGCTTCCAATTACGTTTATATAATGTCTGGGCCAATAGGCAGCTTGCTGGTGTTAGAAGCAAAAGTATTGTAAACATTGCTGAAGACTCAACCAAACAAACATTGCAAGCTGAATAAAAGCCTATTCAGGCGAAAATATGCTAATTCAGCTAAAACATAGCATATTTAGTTTTTAATCTGCTCAAATTGTTTTTTGGGAAGTGACGCCGTCACTCTACAAAACATCCCATACTGCGAACAGATAGAATTACGTCACTGCCAACAACTGTTTCGTGTAAAAGGTAAACATTGCAAAGAAATACAAACACCACTAAACATTTGCACATACCACTAACACCAATAAGCACATCGGCTCATACCTTATATAAAGGACATTGTAGCGCTTCTAACCAAGTGTAGATGAATTGCGTTTGTTTTGGAAATCTTCATTGTCACGTACGAGTGATCGGGAGATGAACCAGCGTCTGGCTGAAAATCTCCTCAATAAGACAACCAAACAACCAACCAAGTACGAAAGAAATTAACAAAAGATTGCATTATATCTCGACGAATGCGCTGCTGTTGATATTCATCAACGCTTGAATATCCAAAACAACATTATCAAAATCGGAAACGATCCTCTACACTAACTTACTTGAAAGTATCCTTTGAGTTTCACGGACATTGTTCAAGACTTCATTGAGTCGATAGATCTTCAAAATCTTAACTCCAGAATTGTTTGGTGAGCATTGAATATCTCATTGATACAATTATTTGATTCGCACGTTGGCATGAGACTTGAGCATGAGGCTTGAGCTTTAAGGATTATTAAAGATTTTCAGAACATTATTCAAGACTATATAGAACCTGTAGAACTGATGGCATGACAACCCTGCCGTGTGTAGACATAAACATCACGTGCCATTTTTTCTATTATCTTTTGTGCTCTACCTGCAATAAACTTCAGTTGAATTTGTTCTCTTTACCTAATCGGTGGTGTTTTATTTCGCTGCGCCATACACTCCAATAGGTTATGGGCCCAGTGTTAGCCATTTTGTTTTTCCGTGCGCGTTAGTACATGCCTAAAAATAAAAGCTTGGTATTTTTCGCGAGTGAGTCGGAAATTTGCTAGTGAAAATGGAGAGAACGGGCATTGTTAAGTTAAACAATGAGAACTATGATTCGTGGAAGCTCGAGGTGGAATTTCTGCTCGTTAGAGAGGGTCTATGGAAGTACGTCTCGCCGGGTGTGAAGCCGGAACTGGCTGCTAACGGTGCGAATGCGGCTGAGCTGACTGCTTGGGATGAAGCAGATCAAAAAGCGCGTGCGACTATCGGATTGTTGATGACTCGGAGTCAACACGGCCATATTCGGAACACTACAACCGCAAAGGCTGTGTGGGACAACCTGAAGAAGCAACACGAGAAGAAGACGCTGACTTCCAAGGTTCAACTTCTGAAGCGGATTTGTGACCTTCAGTACCACGAGAGAGATGATATCGTTGAGCACCTGCAGCAGTTCGAAGATTTATTTGAGAAGCTTGCGAATGCGGGAACCAAGTTAGAGAACGATTTGCAAGTGGTTCTCGTTTTCCGAAGCCTGCCTAGTTCGTTCGATGCTCTCACAACGACGCTGGAAAATCGTTCGGATGAGGAATTGACTTTGGAGCTGGTCAAAGGCAAGATTATCAACGAAGTTCTCAAGCGGAAGGAATCAACACCAGCAGATGCAGTTGTAATGAAAACGGAAGGAATAAAGAAGAACATAGTGTGCCACCATTGTAAAAAAGTGGGACATAAGAAGCGATTCTGTAGACTTCTGGCGAAGCAGAATCAAGAAGAAAACGTCCGAAGCTCCGGTGAATCCGATCGTAAAGTGGCGAGGGCGAAGTTTACAAAATCGGAAGAGGACAGTTTCTTGTTTTGCGTGAGTGCTAGTTCGGTAAACGGGTGGATTATTGATTCGGGCGCGAGTTCACATATGTGCGCTAATCAAGATTATTTCCAAACGTTGGACAGACCGCGCGCGAACACTCCGAAGTCAGTTACAGTAGCTGACGGGAAGAACGCCGAAGTGAAAGGAGTCGGAAATTGCGAACTGCTGTGCTATGGTGAAGATGCGACACAGAAGAAGATTGTGTTGAGTGAAGTATTGTACGTTCCGAATCTCGACATGAACCTTGTGTCAGTGAGCAAGTTGGTGCAGAAGGGAGCAAAAGTCACGTTCGGCGAAACGGGATGCATAGTAGCAAGCGGAGATCGAGTTGCTACAGTTGCACCTAGAAACAAGGGCCTCTACCATTTGCGAATGGTGGAACGAGCGAATGCATCGTCGGAGCAGAATTGTGTAAAACATTGTATCCACGAGTGGCACCGAAAACTGGGACACCGAGATGTGCAGGCAATTCGAATCCTCGAGAGTAAGCAATTGGCAACAGGAATAAAGGTAGGTAGCTGTTCACACAATTTTACCTGTGAGCCTTGCCTGCAAGGAAAAATGGCTCGCTTCCCGTTTCCCAGAAAGGCTAAAATAAAATCGAAAAGCGTACTTGATCTGGTGCACAGTGACTTGTGTGGTCCTATGAACACAATCACTCCAGGTGGGCATAAATATTTCTTGACGCTAATCGATGATTTCAGTCGGTACACTACGCTGTATTTCCTGCACAAGAAGTCAGAAACAGTTGACGCAATCAAGAACTTCGTGCAGTGTATGAAGACACAATTTGGAAAATCACCAAGAATTATAAGATCGGATCAAGGCGGCGAGTACCGTGCTATCGAGCTGATCAAGTTTTTGAGAGAAGAAGGTATATTGCAGCAGTTTACAACTGCCTACACCCCGCAGCAGAACGGCGTCGCCGAGCGGAAAAACCGTTCGCTGGTTGAAATGGCGCGCTGCATGCTAATCGATGCTGGCATGCACTATCGCTACTGGGCGGAAGCTGTCAATACGGCAAATTTCCTTCAGAATATGCTACCTACTAAATCAATCAAGTTAACGCCATTCGAAGTGTGGCACGGCAAGAAACCAGATTTCGGAAAGGTGCAAGTTTTCGGAGTGGAGGCGTATGTTTTCGTACCTAAAGAAAAGCGTACCAAACTCGATTCGAAGGCGGTGAAGATGATCTTTATCGGGTATTCATCGCAACATAAGGCGTGGCGATTCGCAGACACGAGCAATAACAAAATTGTTTTTAGTCGTGATGCAAAATTCCTTCCTCCGAGAGAAGCGAAGGGTTCGAGCAGTGGAAATCAGTTCGAAAACGACGTGTTTTTGGAGCTATCACCACTTTCATGCGTATCCGGGAATGTCGAATGCCAGCCGTATAATGCACCAGGAGGAGGAATTGTATCGGATGAAGAAGAGGAAGATTTCTTAGGATTTGAGGATGACTCGGAATCCACCACGTATGAAGATGCTCACGATAACGACGAACTTTCGGAGGAATACTACAGTGATTCGGTTCAGGAGGAGCTTAGTGAAGTTGAGGATGAGCAATCCAACGGAGAAGTGCGACGTTCTATGCGAATGAACAAGGGTGTTCCGCCGGAACGTTTTGCGGCCTGCGGTAAGTTTGTCTGTCTACAATCGAACGAGCCGCGTAGTTACAAGGAAGCTATAACCGGTGCTGAAAGTGAGCAGTGGATGGCCGCTATGAAGGACGAGTTGAAATCGCTTCACGACAACAACACTTGGGATCTCGTCAAGCTACCACCGGGGAAGAAGCCCATAGGATGCCGGTGGATATACAAGAAAAAGCTGGATGAACAAGGAAGAATCACCAGGTACAAGGCGAGGCTAGTAGCCCAAGGCTATTCGCAAAGATTCGGCCTGGACTACGACGAGATATTCGCGCCAGTTGCAAAGCAAGTTACGCTACGCACATTGTTGACCATCGCAAGTCGTCGTGATATGGAGGTAAAACACGTAGATATTAAAACGGCTTACTTGAACAGTGACCTGGAGGAAACCGTTTTCATGAAGGTACCACCAGGCGTGGAAGGTGATGAGGTTTGTTTGCTTCGCAAAAGTTTATACGGATTGAAGCAGTCGGCCCGCATGTGGAACCGTAAGCTGGATGAGACTCTAAAGCGGATGGGGTTCAAACCTTCGGAAGCTGATCCATGCCTTTATGTTCGTTATGGGAAGAATAAGAAGAAGAAGAAGAAGAAGACGTATATATTGGTGTACGTCGATGATATGTTGATCAGTACGTGCAGCCAGGAGGAGTATGAAGAAATTCTGGATGTGTTGAGCAGCAAGTTTCAGTTGACAACCTTAGGAGATGTGAAAAATTTCTTGGGGATTCAAGTTACCAAATCTGAGAAAGGATTCTGTTTGAATCAGAAGATTTACATCGACAAGATGGCTGCAAGATTTGGATTGGAAGATGCTAAAGGATCGCGCATACCAATGGATCCGGGATATGTTCAGCAGAAGGAGGAGGCGGAAAGGCTACCGACTAATGATAAATATCAGAGTCTTGTTGGCGGTCTGCTTTATCTATCCGTCAATACACGACCCGACATTGGAATCACCGCTTCAATACTTGGACGCTGCGTCAGCAAACCAACGATTACAGACTGGACAGAAGCAAAAAGGACTCTACGCTATCTGAAAGCAACTAGTGGTCTGCAACTGGAACTGGGAGGTAAAGTTGGAGGACTGGAAGGTTATGCCGATGCCGACTGGGCCGGAAACGTTGCTGACAGGAAGTCAAACTCTGGATACCTGTTTCGCCTTGGTGGTGGTCTTATATCGTGGTGCGCAAGGAAGCAGCCTTGTGTGGCACTATCTTCAACCGAGGCGGAATACATATCACTGGCCGAATGCTGCCAGGAGTTACTGTGGCTGCAGAAATTAATGCGAGATTTTGATGAACCGATGGAAAAGCCTGTATGCATCTTTGAGGACAACCAGAGTTGCATCAAACTACTCAGCCAACCCAGCGGAAAACGTTCGAAACACGTAGATACTAAATTCCATTTTGTAAAGGACCTTTTCGAACACAATCAAATTGATGTTACCTACACGCAAACCAAAAATCTATTACAATGAATGTTAGTTCCAGTTCCTATCATCCTCTGTTCATGAACATCGCAACGAATGTTAGCAATTGACCATGCAGGCGATGTAATGGTTTTTTGTCTTTTTTATTTCGTGTTCCATCTACGCTTTCGACTATACCAGTAAACTTTTAGAACGACGCACATTGTAGAACATTGTAGAACGACGCACACACTTGTCACGAATCTCTCCAGCAGAAAAAGCATACGAAGTCGAGCATTTTTATTTCGTCTTCCATCTACGCTTTCGACTATACCAGTAAGCTTGTAGAACAACGACGCACATTGTAGAACATTGTAGAACGACGCACACACTTGTCTCGAATCTCTCCAGCAGAAAAAGCATACGAAGTCGAGCATGCGAGAAAATGAGCGCTTCATCTTTGCTTTTAGGCTGACCATATTCAGAAGCATGGAGAGAGCAGTGGAGAAAGCACAGGTCTGATAGTCGCAACGTCCGTGGTTCGAGTCCAGTCGGCAACCTTTTTTCTCTTTTTTTCGACATAATTAATTTCACTCACTAATACAACTCCACATTTTTCGGTCTCCAATTTTCTTACATCGGACCGCAGCTAGGTATATCGCATCCTCGGTTCATGCGGTCTCCACTTACATCCTCTGATGATGAATCCCACATAATTGTAAGCGAATCTTACATCCACCGGTTGGGTGTACTGTTCATCCGAAGATATGCTTGCGGATATCCTGACCAAGCCGTTAAATCGTGTAAAGTTGGAGATGCTGCGAGAAAGGATTGGTCTTCGATCAGCTCGTGATGAGGAGGAGTGATGGCATGACAACCCTGCCGTGTGTAGACATAAACATCACGTGCCATTTTTTCTATTATCTTTTGTGCTCTACCTGCAATAAACTTCAGTTGAATTTGTTCTCTTTACCTAATCGGTGGTGTTTTATTTCGCTGCGCCATACACTCCAATAAGAACATCAAGATCTTTAACTCCAGAATAGGTTGGAGAGCATTACATATATTATTGTATTATTCTCATATAATCATGAAGCATTACAAAGTTCTTATGATGTGTTGAATAAGTCGGGATCGTGCGTATCAAACCACATTGACCCTATAGAACATCAAGATCTTAACTCTAGGACATTTTGAAGACCCTAACCGACTTCTGAATCTCAAAATCATGTTCAATTCACAAGTACATCTAATACAAATCTTGTGAAATAATTCAGAATAAGCAAGAAAATCTTTTTGCCTACCACCATGTATGTAGATTCCCCATAGCTTTGAGAGGGAGTTTACAAGCAAGGTTTTGCGCGGCGTCCCATAACATGGGCTGTGGTAAATCAATCTGGGATCTTTTACCACCAGTAGAAGTGCAACTAACTTTACCAAAAACACTATAAATAATTCACACCCGCATATGCACTATTCGACGAACGTGATACGCAAAAAAATCCACACAATTTCCACTTTTCACTCAATTTATTCTAGCTCAAGGTGTGGTTAACCGACTTTGGGGCTTGCACCGCCATTTGACGATGAAATATCTCCCCGAAATTATTTACGAACACGCTAAGCAGATAGGACATAACCACACCATAGCCACTAGATCCAAAAAATATTATGCCATAGAGTGCAATAAGGGGGTCACCTCGTCAGCACCTCGCTAGGTGTGTAGGAGGCCAGCGCAGGCGCAGGTGAGATGAAAAACATGATTTATTAAAAAATATTTTTCCCATAAGACCCATATACTCGGGTACAACCAGAAAGGGGTACAACTAACAGAGCATGAAAGCTCGTAAAGGACATATCAAACTCACCTCGCCTTGCCTTGCAGATCACCTTTTATAGGTATCACGACATTAAAACAGTTGAGAGTGATTATAGGAGTACATTACCCGAGCAAAGTCTGAGATCAAATTTTGATGTTGTGATTTCGCTGATAATGATTGCTCAGGTTGCTGTCGTTTTGCTCGTTTTAACGGTTAAAATATCAAAATTGAGAGCAAAGAAAATCTTCCTGTGACATCACATTGAAAACTATTTCTGCTATCAGTGAGAGTAAACTGAAAACTCAATTTGATATCAATTTTTCCTGTTGATAACAAAATAAGTATTCAATTTGATGTTTTGCTAAGGCAATTAAAACAAACCCGCAACAACATATTTTGAAGAGCAAATGTACAGCAAAATGAAAACAAAATTTATCAATTGCATAAACTGAAATCAAATTGATGCTGGAATTTGCTCGGGTAGTGTGTTAATATTGGTTTACTGGTTATTGGTACTGGTTACAATAAAAAAAAAACATCCATACATAAGTAGTACAATTACTGGGCACTGTGTTGGTTATGCTTATGGTACATGAGCTTTGCGATAGGGGTAACTTTGATGGGTATGTGATTTCAAAATATAATTGGACATCACAATATCTACTCAAAATATCGTTTTTTACGTGGTTTCTCGAAATAACACGGTTTTTCTTACGTGTTTTTTTTTTTGCGCGGTACGTATCCCCGCGCAAACAAAGAGTTCGGTGTATATCGGAATTTATGCTTGTGCTCAGTATTAGGGACACCATATCGCTAAAGTCACCAAAGTTGTTATTTTTTAGATATTTTCCGTACATCAAAAAGATCATAATTGGAATACGGCGAAGCGACTTTTTCAGCATAATGACCGTCGGCGAAATTATCATTGGTGAAATAACCGTCGGTGAAATGACACAGCCCCTCAAACGATATGAGCTCCTGAAATTGGATGGGCAAGGGCCAAGCCCAAGATGGTTGGCATTAATAGCTGAGAGCTTCCGGCTCGAAATTTTTATCTGGATCTAAATAACGTTTACCATAGTTACAACAACAGTGTTTCATTTTTACAGATATCGCATATTTTTCGATGTGTAAGAATACAAGGATTGGACACATTCGATGGTTTGCTTCTATTCGGTAGAGAACACTGCTACATTATTGATGGGTTTACTTTAATGAAAAATCGTGAAATCCGTGACATCGATTCGGTACCATCCGGAAGCTACGAGCCCATTCTACCAAATTCAGGCAACGGAAGAATGTGCGGAAAGCATTAATATTTCTATTACCTATACTCATATATATCTAACTGATCTATATTTTAGCTCCCATGAACTAAGACAGAATTCAAAATTTGCTTATGAGGAAATAAGAGAAGTACATAAAAGAAGATATCTCCTTCAACCAATTGCATTAGAGGTGTTCTCCGGTGATGGCCGAAATTTTTTGCTGAGCTTCCCAAGAAAAGTTAGGAATAAAGTTTATCAAAGACTTATGTCTGTCGCCACCTCTATTTCCGACAATGCACAACAATCGGTGGCAGGTCAAAGCCGATCGGCTAATGTGGAACAGTCTTCTGGAATTTTCAGTAGCTTAATAGGAGAAACGTCCGTTACTCAACGGTGGGTGGTAAGTTTCGTAAATTGTTTTCCTTCACCTAATTAATTTACATTTATAAATAACACATAAATAAATTACTGTTAATTACAGCGTGGTGAAATATCAAATTTTCAGTATTTGATGCATTTGAATACCCTGGCAGGTCGTTCCTATAACGACTTGATGCAATACCCTGTGTTTCCATGGATTCTTGCTGATTATGACTCAGAAAGGCTGGATATGACCAATCCCAAGTCATTTCGCGATTTCTCTAAGCCCATGGGTGCCCAATCTAAGAGTCGTTTGGAACAGTTTGAGAAAAGATTTAAAGAGTGGGATGATCCACATGGAGAGACTCCACCCTATTTTTACGGAACGCATTACAGCTCGGCAATGATTGTATGTTCATATTTGGTGCGCCTGGAACCATTCACACAACACTTTTTGCGCCTACAAGGAGGACACTTTGATCTAGCCGATCGGATGTTTCACAGCATTAAAGAGGCATGGCATTCCGCTTCCCAACACAACATGGCTGATGTCAAGGAGCTTATACCCGAGTTCTTTTATCTGCCAGAGTTTTTGATCAACGATAATAACTTTGATTTTGGAGTTAAGCAGAATGGAGACATTTTGAACCACATCGTGCTACCCCCTTGGGCCAAAAATGATCCTAGGGAATTCATAAGAATCCATCGTGATGCTTTGGAAAGTGATTACGTTAGCCGAAATTTAAATCTGGTAAGTACAGCACAAGCGTCTGATAGTCGTTGGCATATCTCCAAATGATCAGTTCCACGCCAACTGACGTATCGATTTTATTTTTCCCTCTCTGAATTCCATGAAAAATCGAGTTTTGATGATCTTCTACTCAGTAAGCAAAAACGGCAGCCACCAAGCTAGCCGAGCTCCTCATTTTAAATATTGGGACCTTATTTTGTGAAGTTCTTAAGAATACTGATTGAAATATAATGTAAACAAATAAAAGTTAAGAATCTCATCCGAATAAAATGATTCCAAATGCTACGGATTAATAGAAATTAAGTTTAAATAGATAAAAGTAGAAAAAAAGAACAATCTCACCAAATCAGTCCAAGTGAATCCTTTGCAAGTAGCTCTGTCACGTTTGGTGTAGCAGTTCCGATCATAGACCCGCCTTACGGGGATCGAATGTTGAATGTAGTCGATTGATCCAAGTGTAAGTGGCAACTTGTATCTCCTTGACGCGAACACGAAGCGACCGCTCATAAAATCATACAACGCATAAATAAACTGAAATTAACAACTATCACTCGCGATGCCACAAATTTCTGAACCGGGAGCACAAGCGAAGAAAAAAACAAACAACGTAGATAGCGACATCTCTTCTGATGCTTGTAAACATTTTCTTTCTCGATTCTAAAACTTCCCGGAAAGCGAGAAAACCACCAATCACACACGTATAACCGTCCGGGAGGCAGAGTGTCAGCGCTAATCTGGCAAAATCAGCCAAAATTTATGAAGCGAACGCACGCACAAAACAGAGAGAAAACTTAAAACACAACCTATCCAAAGGGATTCGAAACTGAACGTTAATTTTTCACAGAGGACAGTACCAGTTGATGGCACGGATTTTTATTTTTAATTACCTTCAGTCCTACTTTAAAATGTATTAATTACTTTAAGTACTTTTGCTTACATTCCAACTTCGAACCAACGGTTCTTTGTATTGCGTGCTCCTCGGTTGTAACGGTGCATGCCACTCCCCATTCAGAACTTAATTAACCAAAAACGCAAATTTATGACCGCAAAACGTTGTTTTTGGTGATTTATCATGCAATAATTGTTACTGTCATGCATTTGCTATAAAAAAGTTTTTTTTATTATTAACTCTTTATTTATTACAAATTTAAAATAAATTACATTTCATTTTAACCTAGGTGCTCCAGTTACTACAGTAACTTACCAGCCTTAATTGTTATGATATATATCTAAGTGTTTTTACAATGTTCCTGCCTTGGCAATTCAGTATTTAAACAGGTTTTTTTTAAACCTGCATGTCAGTATAACAATTTACATCTTAAAACTAAGAACTAACACTAAATCTCATCAGAGTATAAAGGGAATTAATCATTGCAATTGAATATTGCAACGATTTTTGCCTGAAATTATTAATTATTTTGTTAGACATTTGTTCTAAAGTATCAACATTCGAAATTCTATGGTCCTCGGTAGTACTGTACCAGGGAGGCAACTTCAAAATCATATTTAGAACTTTGTTCTGAATCCTTTGAAGTGCTTTTTTCCTGGTAGTGCAACAGCTAGACCATATTGGCACAGCGTAAAGCATGGCCGGTCTAAACACTGGTTTAAATATTAGAAGTTTACTCGTCAGGCAATGTTTGGATTTCCTGTTTATAAGAGGATACAAACATTTTATGTATTTGTTACATTTGGCTTGAATGCCCTCAATGTGATCTTTAAAAGTTAATTTTTGGTCAAGTACTAACCCAAGATATTTCACTTGGTTTTACCAGGAAATTGGAACTCCGTTCATAGTGACTATGTGACAACTACTAGGTTTCAAAAAGGAAGCTCTAGGCTTATGTGGAAATATTATCAGATGAGTTTTGGAAGCGTTGGGAGAAATCTTTCCAGAGAAATCCATTTTTGTAAATAAGTAGAGAAAATATCTTAACTTTTCTGCAGTCTGCTGCAAATAACACGAAGACTTCTTCCTTTAGCGGAAATGCCTGTGTCATCAGTGAATAAAGATTTGTGGCAACCTTGAGGCAAATCAGGGAGGTTCGAAGTGAAAATGTGAAAATGTTATAAAATAGGCCCAAGAATGCTACCCTGAGGAACTCCTGCTCTAACAAGTAGTCGTTCAGATTTGGAATTTTGATAATTAACCTGTAGAGTTCTGTCAGTTAAATAATATTAATATTTATCAACATAAAATAAAACTTCCACTTCCTAATATTCTAACTATTGTTCAAACCGTTTCTTTTAATAATATAAATCCTGTTTCAATAATTTGTGTACCCAAATCGATTCGTTAATGATAGATTCAGTCAATAAAATCTTTGTGGGACAGTTATGCGTAGAATTTTAACATGGGACAATTAGGCTTGATGTTGTTTTTATACAAACCCAGAACAAATTATATGTTTTTCTATTTTCATTTCAAAGTCTACCTAAAAACTACTATTTTATGAACAAAAGTGAAAAACGTCCAAAAGTAACATGGGACTGATATGCGTAGAACGGCATAAATTATTACTTTTATTTATACATTAACTAACTATAGTTAGCCCCGTAACGTGGGTAGATCACCTTTTAGTGGTACGTTACGGGATGTAAGATCTACCACCGATTCCTAGTCCTGGCTACTTCAAACTAGGGGAACAGGAATTTTCAGTAATCAAAGGAACACATCTTATTCCTTGTTACTTTTTATGCCTTGTTGATAGTGATAAGTTCTCGGGTTGTCTGGACCGAGGATGATCTTGAAACAAGGAAAAAATTAGTTAGTTAGTCTTCACCTATGTGATTCCTAATCTTTTATTCGTTGTTCCCTAGTTTGAAGTGGTTAAGACTAGGGTTCTGATGCATGGACATTATCGGTGTCATTGTTTGTTTTTGTTGCTAAGGAATCCAGTTTTGATTGACAAAGGGGCGCGCCTTTTGAGGGTGTTGCAACACTCCGAAGGGTATAAATAGCGGGACCTTTCAATTAGAATCGATTCCTTGCGATGAAGGCAAGAATGAAAACTGTATGAAAACCGAATACTTCATCATTTCTCAATATTGATGGAGTAATACAACATGCACTAAACTAAGGACACGGGATATACTACAACAGATCAAATTACTGGTCGCAGTAGTGTTATGTCACGAACAAAAGATTAAAAAATCTATGATTAATGTTAAATTTTATTTAACATTACTGACTACTTCTATAGTTGAAGCAAAAGCTGCCTCAGTACCAAATTCGATTCAATTATAATAGACGACGATGTTCAGCTCTTGATACGTCTTTAAAATGTCCGTAGGAGTTAATATCAAAGAACACGCGATCCTGCCATGAAAGTTATCTGTAGGGATTTGCAAAAACAAATAAAAAAAAAAACGATTATCTGCCCTGAGGTACAAAACTTTTGAAAATAATGTTTCTAAATTAGACTCAAGTTCTAAACCCTTTTGGAAACTCACATTTTTTTTTAAACCTCAAAAGCCTATTCCAGCGCTATAGGTGGTAAAATATTGATCACTAATTCGAAAAAAAAACCTCATAAACTTGCTAAGCAATTTGAGAAGTTCCCATCATTGCAGTTTGGGTCTTATTAGTCCTATTGAGAATCATGTTGCTCTAGATTATCTAAATATTAACTCTCGGGAAAATATTTTTGATGATTCCTGGGAGACTGATTTGGACGAATTAAGATATATAACTAAACAAATTCAAAATGGAATTTTCTTTACCCTCATCAAAAAACTCCTAGAGAGTACCTTGTCTTTCTTGCGAGGGGGGCGACACATCTAAATCTCAATTTTGGATGCTCAAAAAATCTCACACTGCGAATCAATCTTCGAAAAATCTTCTTGCATTTCTCGCATCTACTTGCATCGCGCATCACCTTTTTGCAGGAAATCTTCAGAATCGTCATCAATCTTCTTTCTATCTACTAAGTGTGCGATCAGCTAGCTACAGCACAACACAATCTTTCCTGCAGCGTATATAGAGTCCGATGTTTCCATTTGGCATATTTTACTGATAAATGGAAAAATGCAAAAGTTGTTCTAATTTTGAAGCCGGATAAAAATCCAGCTGAAGCTTCTAGCTACCGTCCCATAAGTTTGCTTTCTTCAATAAGTAAACCTTTTAAAAAGATAATTTTAAATAGAATGATGCTTCACATCAATACGAACTCAATTTTTGCAGATGAGCAGTTTGGATTTCGCCATGGGCATTCAACTACTCATCAACTCTTAAGAGTTACCAAATTAATTCGTTCAAACATATCTGAAGGCTGCTCAACTGGAGTTGCTCTTCTAGACATAGAAAAAGCATGCGACAGTGTGTGGAATGAAGGTTTGATTGCTAAATTGAAAAAGTTTAATTTTCCACTCTATATTATGAAATTAGTTCAAAATTATTTAACTGACAGAACTCTGCAGGTAAATTTTAAAAATTCCGAATCTTAACGACTACCTGTTAGAGCAGGAGTTCCTCAGGGTCGAGGGGGGCGACACATCTAAATCATAATTCTAGATGCTCAAAAAATCCCACACTAGTGAATCAATCTTCGAAAAATCTTCTTTCATTTCTGGCATCTACTTGCATCGCGCATCATCTTTTTGCAGGAAATCTTCAGAATCGTTATCAATCTTCTTTTTGTCAACTCAGCGTGCGCGCAGCTAGCCACAGCAAAACACAATCTTTCCTGCATCGTAGATAGAGTCGTCCCCCTCGCTCAGGGTAGCATTTTTGGGCCTATATTGTATAACATTTTCACTTCGGACCGCCCTGATTTGCCTCAGGGTTGCCACAAATCTTTATTCGCTGATGGCACAGGCATTTCCGCTAAAGGAAGAAGTCTTTGTGTTATTTACAGCAGACTGCAGAAAAGTTTAGATATTTTATGTTCTTATTTACAAAAAATGGAAAATTTCTCCCAATGCTTCCAAAACTCATCTGATAATATTTCCACATAAGCCTAGAGCTTCCTTTTTGAAACCTAGTAGTAGTCACATAGTCACTATGAAAGGAGTTCCAATTTCCTGGTCAAACCAAGTGAAATATCGCACAGCCGAGCTCGGTAGAAAAAACTAAGTGTGTAGATAGATTAGAAGGAAAATAAATAAAACTACTTTATGACTCAAAGTGCAATGAATGAGCGTTAGCTTCGGGATCATTTCAGTGTTAGAGTTATGTTAGTTTTCATCCGTAATCAGCCTTGCCGGCCCCTCCAACATTAGTTGCAGGCAGTGGTTGTTAGATCATGCGGCAATGTAACTACTACTATTTTAGATGTATGATTCGTCAAGTTTATACAACTCAATGTTTCAATTGAGGCAAACTATCTATCTTGCAATTACAAAAGCAAACCTAAACTTACAATTCTAGATAGAGCTGGAATTAGGGCGAAACAGCTTCTGTAAACAATGATTCCTCTCGATGATTTCTTGGAAGCCATGGCTCTCCCTGGCAAATAGACATCACCATCGAGTAGGGGAAGACTTCGCCTACTCGATGGATGTGTTGCCTTATGTAGGCGTGGCTCGAATTCCTAGAAATCATCGAGAGAAGTCATTGTTTACAAAGGCTGTTACGCCCTAATTCCAGCTCTATCTAGAATTATATGCAAATGCAAAATGAAACTTGACAAATCATCGTCAATCCCCTTATTCCAGGGCCGGGCCTGACGATTTGAATCTAATTTTGATCAGTGAACGGGCACCATATGGTACATTTTCTCACCATGAACCTATCATTTCCAGCCTATCTGAACTATTTAATAAATGGAAGCCATAACATGGGTTACGCTCCCCCTAAGCGGGCCCTCCGCATCCTATCTCTGTCTTATCTCAAATACAAAATGCCAATGGTATGAATGTATCTATATATAACTTGGAAATGACGTACAATTAAATAAACCCGTAACCCACTCACTTGGCCAGGCTTCAGAATCGTCCAGTGGGCAGTGCGCTCTACACACCAAGTTCCATTTTTTTCCAATTTACCGCAAATTTGATATTCTACCCATTGAGTGTTGATTAATCACAATGAAACATTGTGACAGAGGTTGAGGTTACTAGTGTATTAAATAATCTAGGTCCTATTTAGGATTGTATCTGAAAAATCCAAATCTGGCCAACGCCCACCCTAAACCTAAACCTTTTCTAATCCACCTGAAATGACTAACGAATGGAAGACTTTGACTACCCAGCCATGCAATAGTCTCATTCAGTCTTGTAAGCGGTCACGGTAGTCGACACATTTTCTGTGATAATTGACTGCCTTTGCCTCCGACACTTGCAAAACAAGCTATCATAGTACAGTACCAAACTAAAATGTCATATGGCAGGCTCTGTCATACGACACTGTCGCCGAAGACCGTCACGAATGCATGTACATATTTTGGTTTTTCTCATAATAAGAGCTGCTGATTGTGTGCTTGTGTGAATTCTGAAAATAGCAAGCAATGATGTCCTAATAGTAATATTTCTGATCAGAAATGGTTTGATTTACACCAAATTGAGGAATTACAACGAAATCACACATGTCATATGATAGCTATTTTGATAATTTTCTTTTAGCTCGAATGTTATTCTATCGCTCGTGTTGTGTGAGAGAGACGACGGTAGAGCATGAGTGTTCGAATACAAACAGACTGTCGCGCACGACAACGAAGCGAGTGTAGTAAAAAACGTCAACTGTTTCAACCCCTGGTCTCATTCCGTGCCTTATGGCAACTTGATGATTCTATTGCGCTCATCTTCTGGCACCACCCAGGGGAGACTTGGTCCTGTACCCAATGCTTAACTTATCTCCATTCCACTCAGCTACTCGCAATTTCTTGTGATATAGTGGGCGGAATATTATTATATGAGACAATTCAATGCAGACGTCTTTCCAAATTTGGCAGATCGACAGGTAATCGGTGAGTTACCACGATAGTTGCTATTCAACAACTCGACAACGTCCCATCGTCAACGCCTGCTATGAGAATTTCCCATTGCAGACGCCAACGAAATGACGTCATCGAGCTATCGATCAACTACCCTGGTTACGCCTGGTACCTTATAGCACGACGCTAGGAGGCGAATCGGAAGACCCCCTGAAATATCTTGGGTTAGTACTTGACCAAAAATTAATTTTTAAAGATCGCATTGAGGGCATTCAAGCCAAATGTAACAAATATATAAAATGTTTGTATCCTCTTGTAAACAGGAAATCCGAACATTGCCTGACGAGTAAACTTCTAATATTTAAACAGTTTTTTAAACCGGCCATGCTTTGCGCTGTGCCAATATGGTCTAGCTGTCGCACTACCAGGAAAAAATCACTTCAAAGGATTCAAAACAAAGTTTTGAAGATGATTTTGAAGTTTCCTCCCTGGTAAAGTACTACCGAGGTACATAGAATTTCAAATGTTGAGACTTTAGAATGAATGTCTAACAAAATAATTAATAATTTCAGGCAAAAATCGTTGCAATCTTTAATTGATTAATTCCCTTTATACCTAGATAAAATTTAGTGTTAGTTCTTAGTTTTAAGATGTAAATTGTTATACTGACATGCAGTTATAAAAAACATGTTTAAAGTACTGAATTTCCAAGGCAGGAACAATGTAAAAACACTTAGATATATATTATAACAATTAAGGCTGATAAGTTATTGTAGTAGCTGGAGCACCTTGGTTAAAATGAAATGTAATTTATTTTGAATTTGGAACAAATAAAGAGTTAAAAACAATATTGTTTTATCAGACTTCTGGAATTATGAGATGTTATGATTATTTTGCACATGTAACTTACAATAAGTGGTTGTAACTATGTATTTCACACATGACACATATCAATTTAACTTTCAGAGGGACACACACTTAGATTTTTCTGCCGAGATTTGCACCACCGAGCAGGCTCGACATTTATTTTTACTGAGATCTTAGCAAAATTTATGTGTGTTGGCTGAGATCTCGTCAAAATTCTTGTTTGTTAGCTGAATCTCGGCAAGTTTTTCACTGAGATCCAGCAAAATAAAATCCCGAGGTGCTCGGTGGTACCCATCTCGGTAAAAAATCTAAGTGTGCACATTTTGATTTTGAAAAAAAAAACCCTTTAGATTGTTGCATATTTTTCCATAATCTCTCCGGTAGCTTAAACAAGATTCGTCAGGCATATGGAAGCAATTAATAAGATTGTATTTTTTTTATTAAAAAATAGTGTAACTCAATCGTTTCCTTAACTGGTGTGTATAACAATCCGTCACTATAATAACAAAGTAAAATTCTTCATTTTAGTGGATTGATTTAATATTCGGCTATAAGCAGCGTGGTCAAGCGGCGGTAGAAGCTATCAACGTATTCCACCATCTTTTTTACGAAGGAAATGTCGATATATATAAGTATATTCATCTAGAGTGCAGTGTCATTCGATTATTATACAATTTCATTATTTTCATAGCATTGAGGATCCATTAAAAAAGAACGCAACCATAGGATTTATAAACAATTTCGGACAAATTCCAAAGCAGCTGTTTCGGAAAGCTCACCCAGCAAAAAGAACACAAACCTCCAAAAATAACTTGATAGATTCTAGTTTGGTACTACTACCAGCAAATAGCACAGCTAAATTGTTTTTCCACAATCTGGAAAACTTGAAACCAAGTTCCCAGTCTATTAAAGGTGAAGTATAGCCTATACAAGGTTTTTGTTACGTTAAAGTCACATTGATTTTTTTTTCAGAAGTGAAAGGTCCAGTGGGACATATAATACAAGTGGAAAAAATGGTTTTGGCTGTTGAACAAAACAAAATTCTGATGCCTCCCAATTTCAACCGTTACATTGCATGGGGCTATGCTGATCATTCCATTCGCGTTGGCATTTATGATTCAGATCGAGCTCTATTTGTATGTGAGAACGTAGCACCAGATTCAGGCGAAATTCTTGCTTGTGTTTGTCCAAACTCTAAAACAATAATTATGGCAGGCACTAACTCTATTTTAACGGTCTGTGATATAGATTTTAAGCAAAAACAATTGCACGTGAAACATACTTTACATGGACATTTTGACGCCGTAACATCGCTAGCGGCAAGCTCAGCGTACAATATAATTGTCTCAGGATCAAAAGATAAGTCAGCAATCATCTGGGACATGTCAAGGTACAAATACGTACGCCAATTGTTGAACCACGTCGGAGTGGTAGCCGCTGTTAACATCAATGAATTGACTGTAAGTATATTTTAGTATTGAATTTCATAATATTTTGTTATTAAACTTTTAAGTATCAGATGCTCACCGATGGGATGCCGACTGGGATTAAACTCAGGCCTGCTGGGGTGAGAAGTAATCACGCTTACCACTATACCACCGGCACTGCTGAGATATGTGATATGTGTAATAGATATGAAAAAATACGCCTTCCTTGTGTTATTTAAGCACTTCGAGAAAGTTTACATTTTGATGTAGCACAATTTAATTTAAATTTATAGCAGCGCCGGTGGTGTAGTGGTAAGCGTGATTACCTATATTGTTCTCTTACACAAGTTTTATAGAATTCCTCTGACGTTCTATAAACCGATAGCAGTTCTTTTGAATATGTCCGCACTTCCTGAAAAAATGGCAGATTAAATTGGCGTATCTGCCCCGGCTTGAGTTTCTTTGTCCTGATCTTGAACGTCCTTCATATTTCCTGTAATTTGAGCGAGTATCCCTATTTCTACTGTAATTTCTGTCTCTAGATCTACTCCGGCTTCGATCTTGTCTGTCTACCCTGGATTGCCTGCCACCGAGCCGGTATCTAACTGAATTTACTCCTGATTCCGAATTGATGTATAGTGTATTGTTATTCGCCATTTCGAAGCCTTTTATTATCCTTTCAGCTGAACTTAAGGTGAGATTTTCTTCATTCTGCAAACGTTTTTGCAATTCTCTATTGTATACAGCAAAGACCAATTGATCACGAATGGCTGAATCTCTAATTCACCAAAATCGCAGGATTCGGCCAAAAGCTTTACCGCTAAAACAAAATTTTCCCCACTTTCAGTAGGACTTTGTCGTCTACAACGAAACTTTTTTTTTTTTGCTTTATTATAGAGACTAAAATCGATCTGGGAATTGATTCGGTTGTTGATTTGGGAATCGAATAGCTCTAAACAAAGAATTTGAGAATCAGTCAGATCAAAATCGATTTGGGAATCGATTCATCTGTCGATTTGGGAATCTACTAGTTCTAGGCTATCAATTTGGGAATCGATCAAATTATAATCGATTTGGGAATCGATTCAGTTATGGATTTGTGAATCGGCTGATTTTTGTACACGTAATACCGAGATGTTACTACTCATTTAATCGATTTTATTTTTGATTCGAAAGTTACCATCGATTGAAGAATTGACAAGACATATTATTTAACCTCTTGGGAATTTCATTCCGATGTTTAATAAGATCAATTGATAAATGAAACTGAGTTGCAACAACATTGCCAGAAGACATCACAGATCAGAAGAAGAAAAGGGCCAATTTATTACATCTTGGTGGTCCTCACTTGCAATCCCTGTTGTAAAGTTTGTTAGATGTAGCGATCCTGGCTTTTGACCAGTTTTTCGAGCCAGGTCGCCAGGATGTACTTGAGCGTCACACACTTCGGCACATGAACCAAAATCAGGAAGAACGTTTTGCAGAGTTTGTGATCCGAGTACGCCAACAGATTAATGAGTGTGGAATCGATCGTTACCCTGCAAAATGTGTAAAGATTATCTCGAATATCTGATTAGTTGCGCCGGCAGATTCTGCAGAAAGACCGTAATTGGAAGATATTGAAGAAATTGGCAGCATGACTAGGCCGCCATCATCCGGTCGGCATCGACTTGCACTGGAGTGGCCACTATTTGAAAAACAACCGGCCCTTTTCAGGGCACCAATTCAAAAACGGAAAGAGTTAAGAACTAAATGATCAACATATTAGTTCCGTCCACTAGCGGTCCTACGTCAAGCTTTCGTTCGTGCCCCTAGGCACAGGCCCTTATACTTTTTTTTACTGTATTTAGGTTCTAGCCAGACTGGAAAAGCGAAACGTGCAACTGAACTGGGGAAAATGCGTGATTGGGGTAACAAATCTGGTGTTTCTAGGGTACAACATCATGGCCGAGGGGATAGTTCCGTCCATTGATAAAATTGAAGCACTGTTGTCGTTCAGGAAACACGAAAATCCAAACAAATTACAAATGGCAAATTACCTAAACAGATTCCTTCCACATTTATCAACTATGGATGAACCCCTAAGAAATTTATGCAAAAAGGGAGCGGTCTTCAAATGGCTCACCGAGCATGATAGGGCATTTGAGATGATCAAGTCAAAGATGATCAAGTCACCTGTTCTGGGTTTCTTTAAAGTAGGAGATAGGACATGATAGGTTTTGATGGCAGATGCCAACCTAACTGGCCTAGGAGCCATTCTGATACAAGTTGACAAAAAGGGAGAACACCGAGTGATTTGTTACGCCTCCAAGTCACTCACAGAAACGGAGAAACGTTACGGAACATGGAAAGGAATATGCAGATGGAAAACGACATGTGCACGTTGATATTGATTATGGAGACAAGGTTTTGGTGAGGCGATCAAAGAAGGTCCATAAGTTATCTTCGAATTATTCACCGGAATTATTTCTTGTGGTGGGAAGAACTAGATCGGAAGTGACAATCAAGTCTTTGACTTCTGGTAACCAGCAAAAGCGCAACGGTTGCCACCTCAAGAGGGCTGAAACTGAGAGCATTCCAGAGCAGACCAATCAACCATTTGATAAAGAACAAAACACGAACGCGGATATGGATGCACCAACGGAAGAGTCATGGGGCTGTCCATAAACTACGTAGACAGCTTAGAGGGGGGGGGGGGTTGACAATTATCCACGGCCCATACAAATTTTAATTTTTTTGTATGGACAATTGTCTACGCATGGGGGGGGGGTCAATAATCCCAAAAAACTGTCTACGTAGTTTATGAACAGGCCCCATCATACGGTGACGATGTATATGTCCCTGCAAAACGGAAGTGTGCTGAGCCAAAAAGGTTGAGCGATTATGTCCCTTATTGATTTAAAAAATGAAGGGGTGTGGGATCTTACCCCTCGCCGTGTGACGAGAGAAAGGGAAAGGAAAAGAGAACTGGGTGAGAAAACATGGCATGAGGAGGTCGGCAGGGATTTTCTAAGAAAAGTGTGCTATAATTTTCAGTGTGAATAAACTGTTTTGTTTATAATTAATAAATTACTGTTTTATTGAACGACCCGGATATTACATTGGCCTATGGATCTAAGATTGGGTCCATTGCTAAAAATCTTCTATTTTTGAATTTTATCTAGATTAACGCGTCATTTTTGAAAATTTAGTCGATTGCTGAATTTATGTATGGGCCTAAATTAGGGGCATTTAGGCCGACATTACATCCCTTTTCGCTACTATTTGAGATATCTGAGTTCTGAAAACTTTTAGGGAATTTTTACACAAAACCATATTTATTTTCTCTTTTTTTTTGTTTTACTTTATTTGTACAGGCTCAATCGAATAAACTTTACCGAGCCAAGTTATCATTTGCGTTATACATAATTAATGTCTTAAATATAGAGTTAAAGGAATTGAACCGATTACTCGCGGTCGTCTCGAGGTTAGTAGAGATTTGCAGTTTTATGTATGGGGAGAGAGAGAAAGAGGTTTGAGTTATGATTTACGATACAAATATTTCATTATTCCTTAAACATTAACTTATTCCTATTCAATTTGGTATACGCAGTGTAATTATACAATTATTACAGAAACAAACATTAAAAAAAACACACGAACAAAACAAAAACTAAACACAAGGTTAGTCAAACTTACAATCTAAGGTTAATATTCTTTAAGAAAACATATATAAGTTTCATAAACTCCAGATCGCGTCTACCCAAAATATCCCGAACTGGAACATTAGGTTGTCTACTTCGAGCCCGAAGGGAATCATACAACTCGGATCTGACTCCGCGATGCTCAGCACAAGACCAAATAATGTGATCTGCGTCCTGGTAACCTTGTCCACATTCACAGAGATTGCTGTCCCCCAGCCCAACACGGAACAAGGGAGCGTTTAACGAGTAGTGATTGAACATGAGGCGAGACATCATACGAATGAAGTCTCGACCCACATCCAACCCTTGAACCAAGGACTCTTCGACACCTCAGGGATGATTGAATACAGCCATCGTTCCAAAATCCCTTAGCTCCATTTATTCTGCCAGCTGACGAGTGATTGTTGACGATAAATGAAGAAAAATTCATCGTAGGCGATTTGTCGATCGTAAATATCGCCTTTCATAGCGCCCACCTTAGCAAGTGAGTTCGCCATCTCATTGCCCTGAATCGAGCAATGAGATGGGATAGGGGAGAACAGTACATAACGCACCCCCGGGGTAAGACGCACTTTTTCATTTTATTTTTAGTTTTTCTTGGAATTTTTAATCCAATTCTAGGATTTATCATGCAGGATTTTGAATTCAGATGCTATGCTAGAAGTGCTGCTTGATAAGACCACAAAAAAGTTCCGAAAAAGCCATGAAAAACACAAATGAAAGTCAGCTGGTGCGTTCTGCCCAGGGGGTGCGTTGTATACCATCCTCCCCTACATGCAAAGGTGATGACACAAGATCTTAAAGACAAAGCACTTAGAAGCTCTCGTATTTTCATGAGAAAATACGAGGAGTGCTTTACCGGCCTCATAGAGCGAATAGCCTCGACAGAACTGAGACTATCCGTAAAAATAAAATAATGATCTGGTGCAAGTGAGGCGATCGTTTCTAGCGTATAATGTATTGCCGCCAGCTCAGCAACATATACGGAACAGGGAGCTTGAAGCATTCGAGAGGCGCTATGAAATTCGTTATAAATACCAAAACCAGCGGACGCCTCTATTAATGATCCATCTGTGAAGAACGATCTTGCAAGCTTTGCAGCATAAATTGACGGAACAATCATGGAACGATGATGTTCTGGCATCCCAAGAATCTCCCGCGTCATAGATACATCAAAACTAACTGAATTGCCGAAGTCGGAGAAGCATACACGATGAGGATCATGCTGTGAAGGGCTGACATCCTGTGTTATGTACACGTAGTACAATGACATAAAACGAGTTTGAGGGTTCAGCTCAAGAAGCTTTTCGAAGTTATCGATTACCACTGGGTTCATAACTTCACAACGGG